ACTTCGGTCCAATCAATCGATCGGAAAATCTGAAATTTGGTTAGACAGAACTTATGTCTACACTTTCTGAAGGGAATCTGAAAAAGGCTCATTTACTTTTAATCTTACTTGTTAAAGTACAGACAAGATGTCAAACTAGACATCTTAATCAGTAGGAATTTATTTGAATCTCCAGTATATATATATATATATATACTTGTTCACAACACAGAACATTATCAAGGCGAACTCGCAGACCATTAGCACACTGAGACCCGACTGAATGGTACATGAATTCTCCATTCTGCCAGTTTATGATTTTAGCGTGACTGCCGGCCAGTGTCATTGGCGAGTATTCATCTTCACTCCCGACTTGGTAGACCCCACTGACACCACTTCTCAGCAGAACTTCAGGTAACTTTATGCTGAAACCAGTCACTAGCGAACATCAAACTAATTTTCATGAGTTTATCTGTTGAGATTCGATTTGTTTCAGGTTTGACCACGGCTCGATATTAATTAGAGAACCACTGAAAACCAGGGAATACTAGACAGTTGTTTCATCCAAGTTCGGAACTCATCATCACTGCGCACCCGCCGGCAACCGAAAGGTCCTAGATATGAACTCCAGTGGGTGCGTACCGTCAATGAGTCCAAAACTAAGATGAAAAGCAGATATCCAATACTCCCTGGTTTTTATTGGTCCTCTAACTGACATCAATTTGAGGCCAAACTCGAAAGAAATTAAATTCCTACAAACAAACTCATGAGAGTTCATTATATAAAATCTTAAGTGGAATTAAACCACACATAAGATAAATTGATAACAATAAAATATTAAAGCCAAATGACATAAAAATAACATATCGGTTCACAATAATGACACATTATTTCCTTGATGTATAAAAACCTCTATTAAAAAGAAACGCAATGACCTGAAGCTTAATTTATTTTTAAGGAAATAAGGGAAATAAATTTTTTTGTGGGGGAGAATAATGTCGTTTAAAAAACATTTAAAACAAAACTGAAAGATTGTGTAGGATAGGCTGCCAGAGCATAGATTTCACCCATTCAGCTTATTTCCAAATAAACTATGAAAATAGACCAGTGTCACAAAATATTCTTCCCTTCAGTGGAAAGAAAAATGAATTTAACCCCATTTATTTGCATTTTTACGCAAAAACTAAATCGGTTTCTCTTTCATGTGAATATCTGAATCACAAAGAAATAAGGAATATGAACCCAGTTACTGTCCTATTTTCTGTTAGTTTCCTTTTACAACTTCTTAATAAGTGGATTTTGAAATAATTATGTATGTATCGGTATTGTAGGGATTTTGTTTGATTCGTTGGAGGATTTCATCATGAGCTCACATCGGTTAGAGAACCAAGGGAAAACCTGGAGGAACTACTCGACAGCTGTTTCGTCCTTGTTTGAGACTCTTCAGCACTACACACCCACAGCCAGAAGTTTGAACCCACGATCTTCTAGGTTCAAAGTGAGCTCGTAGACCATTGAGTCACTGGAACCCGACTCCATGGTCTTTGAACTCTAACTTCTGCCAATCTAAGGTAAAAACGAATATCTGAAAACTGATTTGATGATCACTAGGGACTAACTCTATCCAGGCAGTCACCTGGGGTTCTGTTGGGGAGCCGTGACCAGTAGGGTACAGCAAGTCGAAAGTGATGACAGTTACTCATCAAAGAAGACATTGGCTAGTGGTCGCGCTATGTTGTGAATTGGCAGAAATTAGAATTCATGGTCTGGCCAATGGATTGATTCTCAGTGGCTCAATTATCTACGAGCTCGCTAGCCTTGTAACCAGAAGATCCAGGGTTCGGGCACTAGTGGTGGGTGCGTACTGCTGAACGGCTGCAAACTAGGCTGGCGAAACAGCTGTTCAGTGCTCTCTGCAGGCTTTCCAGTGGTTCTCTAACCAATGTCAGCTCATGGTGAAATCCTGTAATCAATATATATATTTATGATAATAATACAATCATGCTTTTTTCTCTTTTTGTTCTCTGAATGATCCCTGATGCAAGTTATCTCAGAATAAGTTTTTCACATGACTACAGACTTTAATGCAATATCTCTATGAACGCACTCATGTTTCCTTCACGTTCCCCAGTGGAACATAGGACCTCAAGCTAGTGGCTTGAAGTTTCTGTAGCAGTGCTTATTTTACATGATGGGGTTGCTATCCTCATGCCCAACCTTTCCTCTTTACCAGCATTATTTCTGGCTTAACGAGGTAAAGGAGTGCGTCGATGTCCGGGGATCGAACCCAAGACCATATGCATGGTTGGCGAGCGTCCTAACCTCTATGCCACCGACGCACCTGGACGCAGACATGCTGACTAATATTTTATCCGATTAAGGGTCGACTGAAGACTGCTGACTTTGTCACTGATCCTAATTCTGCTAGTATTATGGCCTTTCTCTAACTCTGATTGTAGTGGTAACGATGAATAAAGCATAGAAGCTACAAACTTCGATTTATGTCAACTGGTTTTGAAACAAATACATAAATAATTTTGCTCCCCCTATTTTCATTTGATTTGTATGTATTCATGTAGTAACTGATACTTTGCTGATATATTGCTGAGAAGACAGAGACCTTTCTGGCTAGCCTGTCAATACTGTATGATTTCTGTTTACCCATTATGGAGTATACATTTATAGTCAAGTTCCTTAAACTTGAATGCCAATAAGACTATGAGGTTTGGTGCTGACTACCTTCAAGCTATTTAAGCATAAATATTCTCCACAGCTTCTTTACTATTAACTACGTAGTTCTTAAAAAATTAAGCAGACGTTCGAATTCATGAACCAGTGGACTCTATAGCAGTAGATGAATTGCAAGGTGTTCGACTTGTAGTCCAGGGCTCCTGAGTTCGATTCACCGTGGAGTCATGAGTTTGCACCTCTGAAGAATAGGCGAGAACCAACAAATTGGCAGGAGAATCAGGCACCGAAGGCAGGAATTCAAGTGAAGGTAGAGATGACAGAGGCAATGAAGTAACCCAACGACCACAGAAACTAGCAGGCGTTGCTGTCAACGGGAGTAATTTGAGTGACGTCGTCACTTTACTTATTTAGACAGCTTCGTCTTACCTGTATGATTTGGCACCAATGAGGATGTCAAAGCCAGGCAGGAACGGAAAGGCAAAACATTCCTTCATCATTCTCAAATCAATGTGTAAAACGAACAAAATTCAGGTTATCCACATTAATGTCAAGTGAGTCATCCTGTAAGCATTTCTAACAGCCTGCTGCAGATTTTCATCAAAACCTCTGTTCGCCCCCCCCCTCTACTGAAGATCACAAAGTTGTTCAGAGAGGATTAGCAATAAAGAACTGTGTCAAAGAACGGAAAAAATATGCAAAAGAAAGTGGAAACAGACTGGACGTATGCTGCGAAGACCGTTGAATAATATCATGCGTCTGGTCCTCTAATGGGAGGTAGAAACCGGAGGCGACATGTCGAGCATCTAAATGTGATGTGGAAGAGGTGAACAGAGCTTACGGGAAGTCTTGGGGCTACCTAAAAAGCACTGCGGGAAACAGGATGAAATGAAGATGCACTGGTGAAGTCCCATGTTCTACTCGGAACTTAAGGAGATAATAACAGTAAATCTCATTGTCTGAGGCAAACGTTTATGTATTTTGTTCTTTCACCTTAATATGTAACTTCATATATATGTGGTACATGTAAGTTAGTCTCGATAGTCAAATCGGTATGAAGATGATACACGTATTACATTAATACTCTCACGGTAATAAAATTATTATTGACAAAATCATCTGAAGTAGTAAGAGTCCTATTTATCACTTAAAAAAAGCAAGTGATGACTAGGCTCGTTCAGATTCTATGGATACCTTGGGCGTAAGTTTTAAAATATATTCATTATTTTTTTTTTTAATGGTATTATGTAAACATCGACCACACAAAATGGAATTCACTTTATTATCTAGAGACTTGTGTCTTCTTTCATCTAATTTTAAGCCAGAAAACATTATATCCTCATTTGTTGATGAATAAATGAACTTGTATAATAGTAGTAATCATAAAACTTTGTTTCAGACAATATTTGAACATATATCATGGAAATTTTCAGCACATACAGTTCCGAAATATTTCCTTCTCGTATGCGATTTACACATAAATTAATAATATGAAATAAATCATGTAACGCAGTGTTGTTGCATATGAAGAGACAACTAATTCTATTTTTCTTTTTTCTTCGTTTCTTTCGAAAATTCCACAGCGTCTAGTTGGAAGCTAATTAGGTACGCGCGCGAGTTCATATAGTTGTCACTTGATATAACTGTATGATTAAAGCAATAAGAAACGCTGAAGAGTTTAAGCATTTTGTTGGATAGGAATTCTGGTAGCCCAGTGATTTAGTCAGATTGCCAGTGTTGGTTTTGTAGGGATTTTGTTTTTGTCTGATTGAAGGATTTCATCATGAGCTGACATTGGTTAGAGAACCACTGAGAAGCCTACAGCCAGTACTGGACAACTGTTTCGCCAGCTTAGTTTAAGACCGTCTAGCAGTACGCACCCTAACCCACCGCAGGGTTCCGAACCCCGAACCTTCTGGTTACAAGGTGAGCTTGTAGATAATGAAGCCACTGGGACGCGATTCAATGGCCAGATCATGAGTTCTAACTTCTCCCAATTCAAGACATCGCATGACCATTTCACAGTCTCTTCTTTGATGATTTACTGCCTTACCTTCAACCTGCTGTACCCAACTGGTCACGGCCTCGCACCAGAACTTCAGGTAACTACCTGAATAGGGTTAGTCGATAGTGAGTGTCATATCAATTTTTCAAGTATTGATTTCGTAGAAAGTTTGTTTTTATTGGTTGGAGGGTTTCATCATGAGCTGACATCAGTTAGAGAATCATTGGTTTACTTACCATAAAAAAATTAATTGACCGAACCTTCAAAAACATGTTTCTGTGCTAGTTAAGAAGCCGAATAGTTATGATGTGTGAATTAATATATATTTGCAAATTAAGGATGAAATATCCAAAAACATGAAATGCAGTCCGTAAACATCTTATCAATTATCCAACATAACTAGAGGTCTGCCATATAAATGAAAGTCAAAATAAGCCGGAATAGAAACATTACAGCAGTGTTCCAATAAATAATTGGCAAAAGATAATTATTATACTCCGCTAACAGATTATAACTATGAACTCTTAGTTCCATTTCCACCTCGTGAAGTACTATGGGTTATTTCAACATTTCTGACTTTCATATCTGGCATCTGATTGGTTGTTTCACTTTCTACCAGGACATTTTCTTCTGCAAAATAATTATTATTTGCTACTCTAACCTTATTATTTCCTTGCACATGTCTGTCGACCGCTATTGTTTCTGAACTTGAATTTACTAATGAGTCCAGTGTTGTTGATTCTGTAGAATTTATGTCACTCATTGCTGATTCACAGTAGTCTCTTGGATATTGGATTTGATGAAATGAGAACAGAGATGAAACACATTCTTTTGATGAAGAAATAGAAGTGTCACTCAGTAAAGTATCACTTTTGTCATCATCTGTGTAATTTTTTCTGAGAACTGAGTTTGGAATATCAACTTCTGAACGATTACTTCTGTCAATCACTGTTGAATTGTTTATTATAGATTGATTGTTCTCTGCATGTTCTTGCGATTAACATCGTGTCCATTAGAAAATAAGAAAAATGAATATTTTAACTGAAATTAGATTCAATTAAAAAACAAAATTATATGACTTAAATCAAATCTCTTAAAGATGGCACCACATCCTAGTAGCAGTTAGCAAGTTCAAGACTCAAATCATCAGAAAATGCCTACGCAGAGTTTCTGGGCACAATCCGCTTCCTGGGTTTCATCTTTCAAGTAAATAAAGCTAAGTCTTGAGGGGAAAACGCCTAAAACAGCTTCATTACTAGACATCTTGCCGATACAGGTCATGACGTGGACATTATGGAATCCTTTAAAATTATTAGTAGACAAGATGTATCAATTCTCCTCAAGTTTGTCGAAACAATCGCTGTCAAGCGCCTGGATCCCGACTTACATGTTCGAAACGAAATAGTCTACAGTCTTTCCTTACTCTGCTAACTGGATGTCTTTACCCTCTCTCTTTCGTTTGATTGACCAACATTTGGCTTTAATCTCTCCCCTCTTTTACATAGTGCACCCTTGCTTGTCTGTTGTTTCTGTGATTGTTACTCAACTTATTAGTTACTCATCATCTTATTCACCCTTTGTCTTGATTACGTAACTCTTTTGTGATTGTATCTAAGCCTTTATTTCTGTTTAGACTTAAACTCTTTGAGTAAAAGCTCTATAAGTGTAATTTCTGAGCACTGTTTATTGATTTCGAAGTCTCTTGTCAACCGACATTATGTAAGTATGGTAAAATTGTTCTGTACAAAAACTTGATAATTTATTCAGGCTTTATGCAGCTGAAGAGGCACAGCAGAAATAAATGGTGATACCTTCTTGTTCTGTACAAACTCATGTTTAATAGTTAAATCTACAGTAGACTACTTTCAAGTCTTTTTACTCAGGTAATCCCTCACTGTCTCATACATGGATACTGTTAAGGAAATAGAATATCATCCTTCTTTCTGTTCTTCTGGTGAACCTTTGCAAAGGACGGTGTTTATGATATAGTGGTTGCCTAGCGACAAATTTATCAGAGACTCTTCCCACTTGACAACACTGTTTCCCTTCTGTAACCATTTTCAATCATCTAATTTTACAGCCTGAAGCGTATTAAGGTGTGTATAGATAGGAAATCTAAACATGCATAATGGAGGATGTTTCCTGGCTATCTTACAATATTTATCTTCACATCTATCAAAAGTCTTCAGGGCCTCCTGTCAAGTGACCTTTGGCATGAAACAAGAGAGGTTTAGCAGAAATAATTTTTTACTGACTAGTCTCCTTAGTTTATTTGATATAGTTTTATACAGTGTGAACTAAGTTGTACCCTGTCACTGTTCTTTTTTTGTGTAAGGCATCCTGAAGGAAAACTATAACAAATCCTACTTCTTCTAGTGTTGGTTTGTAGGGATTTGATTGGTTACAGGATTTCATCATGAGCTGACATTAGTTAGAGAACCATTGGAAAGCCTACAGCGAGTACTGGACAGCTGTTTCGCCAGCCTAGTTTGAAACCGTTCAGCAGTACGCAGCCACCACCAGTATCCGAACCCAGGACCTTCTGGTTACAAGGCTAGCGAGGTCATAGATAATTTAGCCACTAGGACTCACTCCAATGGCAAGCTCATGAATTCTAATTTCTGCCAATTCACGACATAGCGCGGCCCCTAGCCAATGTCTTCGGCAATTATTTGTCCTCACACCTGACCTGCCGAACCCTGCTGGCCATGACTTTCCACTAGAACCCAAGGTAACTAACTACCTGCCAGAAGACGGCATTCGCTAGTGATCATCTCATTGATATTCATTGATATATCTTACTTCTGATATAACATTTTTATCCACTACATTGAGGCAACAAGCGTTTTCAGGGTGTAGTTGATTTATTTGAGTCTTCTTAATTACTGAGTCAGTAACGATATCCAGAATAACTAGTCAGTTAAGATAAATGAAATGAAATTCTAACGGTTTAAAGTATGAAAGTTCATACTCGGTGATCTGTAGAGCTTTGAATCACAGGCGGTTGAATTAATAATCAACATTGTTTCATCAGTCATCTGATCTTTATTTTTTTGCAATTATAGAAAGGATTATGCAAAAAAATAAATCCGAGTGTGGAGGGATCGTGTGTCCCAAGTGGGAAATATATCTAGGCCGAGTCTACGAGCCGGTACCGGCTCCAAGAACCCTGGTTTTCAATGGTTCTCTAACTGATATCAATCCGTGATCAACCCGTAAAAGTCATCTGATCGCCTGATTCATTTCCATTCCAAATACTTGTCGTGTACAAATCTGGGAACAGGAAATCATTTAGTATGAGAAAAAGAGTCACACTCTAAACATCCAACTTATTTGTGTAGGAGATGCAAGCGTGACATGTACTACTAATAAGAATTTGTAAGCGAAATATTGTGTGAAGCAGCTGTCCAATACTGCCTGCTGGATTTCAATGTTTCTCTACTTGATATCAGTCGGTGACCAACTCTTAAAAGCAAATCTAATCCTTGCAAACCAACTATAGAAAATATGTTGTGTGTGACATCCTCTATAAGAATGTTTATTAGCGGAGCGACGGACTAACTGGCAAAGAGGAGAAATGATAGCAACCTGTGAAACAATATAGAAAGCATGAAGGGAAGACAAAAGAAGCGGAATTACCAACAACGACGTGTTCAAATAGAAATTTTAGTGTAAGGCTTCTGTATTTTGCCATCAGTATGTGTCATTTGTTAAATAAATAATTATGTTACCACATACTACTCTTTTGTGCCTTTACACAAGTACTTTTTAATTCGCAAACAGTTTACGAAGAAAGAAAGAAAATTCTTGCTTTTACTGGAAGAAAATCCCAAATACTGTGAGTCTGACTTCATCTTTGTAAAGATAAAATAGTGATTATCAATATAACAGAAGGCGAAGTGAGATATCTGCGCTGTTATTTTCTTCATTATTAAGTCTTCTGAGAGCTAACGGGCCATTCTTTGATACTTTTAGCCTATGTATTTCTTAAAGAGTAATATCACACAGGCATTTTCGGATCAAAGAATGAATAATTTATCACTTTCTACAGAACTGCTGTCAGACTACACTTAGCAGTGACAGTGAAAGTCCAGAAGAAAGTTTTCCAGCGCTGCATTCACTTATCCAAAATTAAATTAAGCACTGTAAACACAGAAGGTTAACTCACCTAACTCGTATACTTTCTCAAAAGCAAGTGAATTACCTTTTACCAAGTTGAAACTGTCCGTATTAGATATAATGTCTGAGCTGATCGATTTAAACTTATTTCTTCTTCTTGGTTGATTAATTCTAATTGTTAAAGTTGTCTTGTTCAAACTTTTACCACTTGAATTCACTGCAGAGCTTGACGCCTTCTCAAATGGAAACAACTCAGAATCTGTTTAAAAAGAAAAATGCAATTCACAGTGATTAACTTTTTAAGGACTATCTTTAAAAAATTAAAATAAATCATCTTATCTGTAATCTCTTTGGTATAACTCTTGTGTGATTCAGTAAAGACCATACTCTAGTTACTAAGACAACACTATTCAGCAAAATCAGAAATCAAAAACATGATCATAAGCTCTGCTTAGACCTCAGTGTCGCCCACTAAATCATTTTTGAATAATCAGAGATTTTCAAAAGAATGATTACTGAACAAGGAATACTCTTTTCGATAAATTCATCATTAGGTTCTACAGTTATATATACATTAAAGTGAAAAAATTAGTATGACTGGGGGTCATAACTAAATTTCTTCTATGCTGGAGAAGAAAGAAGCTATGAAAATGTGTATAATGTCATGCCCATTTGCTTTTCCAATATAAATTTCCGTTTATGCTACCATCTGGTTTTCTTGTTAGGAGGATATCCAGGAAGGCGATTCTGTTCTGGGATTTCCTGAACGTCCTCCTTACATAAAACCAGATGGTAACTTAAAATGAAATTTTCATAGGAAAAGAACATGGACAGAACAATACGCACATTTCACAGCTTCGTTCTTCTCCAGTACAAAAGAAACTTAGTAAAGACCCTCAACCACAGGGTTGCAGTTCCATGTTCAGAAGAAGTAACTGAAGATGAATTAAGCATTTTATATGATACTCTTATTGGAAACAGCTATCCCGATAAATTTATCAAGAAACATATGACAAAGAAAGAGGAAAAGGGCTACTCACTATCCGTAAACAAGAAGCCTTTATACATACGACTGCAATTCAAGGGCAATATACCAAGCGAAAAAATTACGATGAAATTAGGAAAATCAGTTCAAAGAACTTTTAATGCTGGCAAACTACAAGTCTTATTTTCTACACGACCGATGGTGATTCCTCGATTGAAAGATGAAGTACCTAGACCAGCCACTTCCAATTGTATCTACCAATTAAACTGCACTTGTGGAGTGAGTTATTTCGGCTGTTGTTCTAGGAACTTGATTTTTCGTGCTTGAGAACATCTCTCAGTATCGATATCAGACCACCTGGTTCAAACAGGCCACAAAGCCAGCATTGATGAGTCCTACTCTGTCATCTACCGGGTACCAAATAAATTGCCGAAAACATTGAGGTGCAGCATGCTCCAAACAGCTGAAGCTATCGCAATTCATGTGAAAAAAACCAGTGCTTTGTGTACAAAAGAAGTAAGTCCAGCCAGCCACTACTACTCCCCTGGCTGGCCTTTAGTGGAGACTATAAATTTATGAATTCATATTATTATTTTTCCTAATTTTTTTTTATATTTAGTGTATTGTTATGTTGATGCTATCGAACTGCAATCCATTGATATTATTATTGATTCGATGTTATTTAAACAAGATTAATGTTGTTAATAACACTAATTCATTCATTCACTATAATGTATGTATAACTGTAGGAACTAATCATGAAATTATCGAAAAGAGTATTCTTTGTTCTGTAACTATTGTTTGAAAAGATTTTAATGGGTGTTTTTAATCAACTAGAGAATTTATAAATGCACCAAGCTCCAAACTGAGTGAGTTTCGTCTAGAAATCCTAATTAAACTGTGATATTAAAACGTGTCTCCAGCAGCAATAAGAACTCTTAAGGACTTGTATTGAGATTTAAACATCTCACTAAAGCCAACTTTACTAGTCAAGCAGAGAATTTGTCGTATTGAAGAAATAAAAAGAAACATACAGTTAAGTGATTTCATTGTAACTTCCGTTTTTTCAGGCAGATGTGAACCTACGTTTAATAAAATTGAAGTAAAAGCAGGTTTCTGGCCAAACGAATGCGAATAAAATAAAAACATTCTAAGGAAAGGTAAAACACATCGCAACTGTGTACTCTCAGTATAGCTGTGGACCAGGTCCAAAAGTCGCCAACATATCTAAAAATTCATGAATAATCCCCATCAATTTGCAATTAATAGTGTTCTCTGAGCTGGTTGGTTTAGCTGCGGAGCTTTCGTCGTCTTTCTGGATGACATCTTCAGCGCACTATTTAGGATAAAGTAAAATGATTTAAATTTCTTCATGGATGATATAACTGCGTCTCCCAAGTCAATAGAAAATGGTCAATACATATGTAAAGATGGTTACCGGGAGACGCAATTCTATCACTCATGAAGAAATTTAAATCAGTTCACTTTATCCTAAATACTGCGCTGAAGATGTCATCCAGAAAGACGACGAAAGCTCCACAATTAAACCAACCAGCTCAGAGAACACTATTAATTGCGAATCATCCACCTGAGTTACAAATGTTCTCTATTATTTCAATCCCCATCAATATATTAACGAAAACGAAAGACAGGCCAGTGAGAAGGCTCTTTTTGGCGATTTCGTTTCCTTCAGCTGTACAATTCCATTTATATATATATATATATATCTTTTTCATGAAAGAATGTAGCAACAAAAGGGTTACGTAATAATGTGAATCGTTTTAACGGATAAGTTGTTATCCGGATGCACATGAAAACTAAGGGAAATATGGAATTATGTAAGCTTTCTAAAGAAATAATAGGACTGTAATGGAGTTAGGGAAACAAAGAAACGAAATTAAATCGCTGAAAAAGAGAAACTCTTAGTTGAACGTATTTTCATTAGGCAGAAGTCAACAAGGTTGTTACAATGACAGTAGAAGTCGTCAAATAGTTTTCTTTTGTATGTAAAACTCTGGTTCTCCATCTAAATGGCTAGATCTTTAGAAATGCAAAAGAGACGAAAGCACATTTTCTTTTTAGAGGTCGTTCTTCAGTTTGTAGATTACATTCACCTATAGTAACTAGTTTCAGTCACTGAAATCGGATGAATTTCAGTTTTTAGACAGTGAATGTTTGAATATAATCATCAGGAGACCTTTAACCTGAGTTTCGTGCAGGTTGGCACTCATCATTAAGGCGTATCTGAAGTCTTGAAGGGATTCATGTCCCTTCTGAGATTTAAATCCACGTTACCTGGTGCTTTCGTCAGATACCTTACCACTGAGCCATTCAAGCTCGCGATCGACCCCTGTAGGACTGTGTTGGATACTTTGATCGGAAAGTTAAACTTTCGACACCACTAACAACCAATCAGCAAACGACCTCGAACGGACCAATCACATTAAAGAGGCGTATATGATGAATGGAAATGTATATTTATAGAAAAAAGCATAAAATAGATAATAAAAAAGGTTACATAAGATATCTTTCTCGAAAATGTGAGAGAAAAATCTCCCAGTTTAGCATGGGACTGTCAATGGAGAGGTTACACCATATCCTGTACATATATTCATCCAAATGACTATAAATGAGATCCTTTTGAAATACATTTTTGGCCCTTATCCTATTTTCCAACCTGCCCCAAAATCCTTCATTAGAATTTGTATGTGTCCTCGTAACGGGATCCACAAAATCACTTGAATGGTTGTCTCTACGATGAATATATCCCAGAGATGACAGTGAATTGTAGCCTTTCCGTGTGTATAATTGACCCCCGCCTAACAATTCTGGTAACAATAGGTATAAGAGTAGTTGCTTTTCTATCTGCTATCCTTAGGGAGAGAAGTGACCTAGCGAAAAAAGTTCCTTCGAAATAATGAAATTATCAGCATACCCTCTCTAGTGTTAGTAGGCTTCAAACATATAGCACAACGATGAACAAACCCATCAGTTGATTTGGTTTAGCTTTTTAAAGTCATGATACCACCACACAATCAAATTCGTTCTTTCCGGAGCAACTGATATCTAGGAAATACTGGGAAACACTAACCTCCTCGAATTGCAACAACAGCCTTGTAAGGTCACGCATTAGAAATGAATCAAGCGCTAAACAACATTGAACTGCGTTCGTGAACCTCATTGGATAATTCGACATCGTTCGTGAATCTCATTGGATAATTCGCTGATTGGTAGTTAGTGGTGTCGAAAGTTTAACTTCGCCACACTAGTTAATAATTAGTGTGTATCCAGTCATTTCATTGGTGCAGACTGAATTCCATCAGTCAAGTTTAAAATGTGGCCACCATTCTAGGCGGCTCGCTTGAATAAGACAGTTCACTCTGAACCAATCAAAGGACTAGACACATTACACTAATTACTAATTAGTTTCCAATCAAAAGAATATCAGTTGTGTTTTTTTCACAAATGAGTACACTTCGTGAAAAATGACACTTTTAACCATCATGTCATTAACTAAATAATATTAGTTACCTATTAGAATCTGATTTTCCCTTAAAACGATATCACGAATAAAAATATATATTAATACACTTAAGTAATCTTATGTTTCAAACAATATCCATTCAATATTCCATTGTTCTTACACGATTTAAAGTGAAACATTTTAATTGTTTTATCCCATTTCCTGACTTATTACATCGAATTTAAAATCACTTTCTACTCGACTTTTTCATCTTTTTTTGTCTGCATAAAATACATTTTAAATCGAGCATTAACTAATATACAGACATATATAATGTATATATGTATATTCGTAGACGAAATTTATTCAGTTCAATGTTCAATTTCCACTTCGATTCATTTTTTTTTCATCAAAAATTTTACCTTTTGACGAATACATATGTGTATATAAAAATATTATTAGCTGACCTAATTTTAGACAAGTCAAAAAAATGGTTCATATTGTGATGATTTGAAATTTATCTAATGGAATGTTTCTTTTCGCGTACTGCTATAAATTGCCAGTTTATTGATTTTTATATTTTAAATATATATCTAGTTATATGTATATGTGTTCACCCTACCCGATTACCAAACGATCACTGCTCAGTAGAAGCGAAATATATGTGGTAAAAGAACATATTTAATACGAAGTAATGAAAAGAAACAAAGGAATCATAAGAAAAAATGTGTCGATTGTAACAATTTTTGCACGTTAATTCCACTTTTTTTTCCCAAATTTAAAATTTTCCAATTTCACACTCAGATAATAT